GGCAACGGGCTGCTGCTGCTGCCCGCCGGCATGTTCGGCGCGCTGCCCGCCCTGCGGCACCTGGACCTCAGCAACAACTCGCTCGTGGGGCTGCGCAACGTGTCCTTCCGCGGGCTGCCCTGCCTGCAGAGCCTCGACCTGAGCGACAACTCGCTGAGCGCGCTGCGCAACGGCACGCTGGCCCAGCTGCGCGGCCTGCCCGCCCTGCGGAGCGTCGACCTGCGCCGCAACACGTGGGTCTGCGACTGCGCCATCGAGGACCTGGTGAACTGGCTCAAGGAGAGCGACCAGGCGGAGGGCAAGGAGGCCCTCACGTGCGCCTACCCCGAGAAGATGCTGGGCAAAGCCTTGGTGAAGATGAACGCTTCGGACCTGAACTGCTCCGTGCCCGTAGACCTGCCCTCCCAGCTACAGACTTCGTACGTCTTCTTAGGGATAGTCTTGGCTCTCATCGGGGCCATTTTCCTCCTGGTTTTGTACTTGAACCGCAAGGGAATCAAAAAGTGGATGCACAACATTCGCGATGCCTGCAGGGATCACATGGAGGGCTATCACTACCGGTACGAGATCAACGCAGACCCCCGGCTAACCAACCTCAGCTCCAACTCCGACGTCTGACGGAGCGAGCGGCGCGCCACACAACAGCTATGCATGAAAAGTAGACTAAAGCTTTACCCTCGTGCTTGCCTCCCTTTCCCCAGAGCAACCAGAGACGTGTGCGTAGCGTGAGGGAGCGCGTGCCTCCGCGTGATGTGAAGCTCAGTGCTGTTCTGTGTCGAGACACCGAGCAGTTGCGCGTGGCGTGGGCTGCGCGTCAGAAACGAGCTGCTACTTCTTGTCCTTACCTGCTCTCGGTGGAACTTGCTGCCGGTACTTGTCGGGAAAGTTTTTCAAAGTCTCAAAAGATGCAAAAGGATTCTCTCTCTGCTGCTGTAGAGCCACCAGAGCTTATAGGACGTACCGATACAGATACCATTCAACAAAAGCTGCCTCAACTTTTTTGGGAAAAAGACATTACCTTCGTCAGTACCAGTTTTGGTCTTGTATATCCTGAATGCCAAGACAACGATTCTGTTTCATAGACTGCCTTCAGACTAAGGGACAAAGCAAAGGAACTAAGCAACTTTTCTGTTAGAAGGAAATACAATAGCATGCACAAATGCCTCCTAGTTTTACATGTTAGGAAACTTACAATCTCAGTAAGTCTCTTATTGTTTTGTAAAGTTATTTTTTGATTGCAGTTTACGTGAAAAGAGAATGTTTTTTTATATATATAAAAGTGCATCTAAACTCAGTTTGAACTGTTCAATAAACAGTCTTACAAGAACTGTTGCACTGAAGTTTGCTGCTTAATGAAATGTGTTTGGATATCTGATGTGAATAGCTCTACAGTCTCTTTAAGTAGTAGCCCTACAGTGGTAATTTGAATTAAAAATTTAAGAAGTGTATAGTTTAGGCATGAATGTTTGAGTCTTGTGAAATATACTGTAAGAATTACATTGTTTGATGATGAGAGCAAAGTTTCAGTTAGCACAAAACCCCCAGTGAGCTCTCTCAAAACTTCAAGAGAAATGCTAGCCAACGTTATGGAAAAAACAAGAAACTAATTGAATTTGCTAGTCTCCTCTACCAAACTTTAAAAAATTCAAATTTAATTGTTGAGTTCATAATACAGAAAATTATGCCTCAGTAGAATTATTTATTACAAAATGCATACTTTCAGGGCTTGAATTAAATTAAATGCAGCTCAGTCCTGTAGTCGGAGAGCTCCGGACTTGTAAAAGGATACGCAATTTGGGTTATTAAATTAAGTACTTGCCGTTTCGTATGAAGCTCTCAGTGCTTGTGCCATTTTGTACTAATGTACTTGAGTAATGAAACTTTTTTTTTTTTTTTTAGCATTTATCTTAAAACTACTGGCAAGTCTGTTGAAGTATTATATGTGCACTCACGCTCACTACTTATTTGAGAATGTGTTTAAGTGTGCGAAGCATGCAAAGGGAAACTTCAAAGATGCATCATTTAGAATGTGATTCTGGTGAATGTATTGAAAGGTTAATGAGGACCTTCCAATGCCTGCCAATAATTAATGCATTTTTCTCTAGTACATGTATAGATTCCTGAAGAAAGAATGCATACCAATTTATATTACCTTTCTGTATTTACTGTATCAGTTTATCAGTGGTGCTCTCTCTGTGAGCACTGTTACTTGAAGTTCTTAAGCACTTTATAGTTTTGTGAGTTATCAGCTAATTCCCCTCGCTTCCAAGAGTGACAGTTTCCTTATAGGTATGTTCCGTTGCTAAAAGCCCCTAAGTATAAAACAGTCACTTAAGTATCAGAATAAATAATTTAAATTGTTATTAATTTGGGCATCAAGCTTGTTCAAATGCATTTTTCTCTCCTAACTACAGGTGTTGTCAAAACAAGCAACACATGTTGGTTCAGACTAGTTTTTTATTGCTTTATGCTGGCTTTACTGAATAGCAGTGCTTATTTTTTAATGTATTTTTGTATATCCACTCTCCAAAGTTTAAAAATACAAGCAATCTTTTGATAAATCAGTATAATTACAGTTAATGTAAGCTAGAGGATAATTTAATTCTCCTGCTGTAAACTAAATGTATGGAGAATGCCCAGATAACAACATATGAATTTTAAGTTTGTGGATTTTTGAGAAAACAAATCGCTGGCCTGAATGTTAGCTGCACATATTTTAAGAATAGTATAAGCTCCAGTATGAATAACTATTAATGAGCAACTATGCAAACTCCTCTTCCTTAGTATACGTAACAGAGTTTCTGTACCAAGATGATAGAATTTGCAGTAGCTGTATAGTGTGCTGTGCTGGTCATTTGGCAGAATTATCACTTCACATTTATTCACACAGTGCCGAGAAAAGAAGAGCCTCATCCTTGCTAAAGATGCTTCTGTAATATAGTACGTAATATATGTACAGGCTAAGCCATTTCTTGGGCAATTTCTTGACTTGTGTTAACTTCTAAGTAAATACAGTGAGACTTTTAAGTAAATACAGTGTATAATGTATTATGCAAGAGACACAATTTACAGAAGTGTATAAGATCAGGCAATGACATTAGTCATCGTCTATCACCAATGAAAGTAAATCCCTATTTGTATAGTGAGCAAGTGTGACTATTGTACTATACCCGTTATTCTAAAGATAATCTTTTTCTATAATAAAAGTCATTGTAATAGAAATTTCAGAGAGAGATGGTGACCACTACTTTAAAATAACTTATGCCATTTGCTTAGCTGTGTATTTATTAGGGTGTTGCAATTAGCATGTGTCAGTGTTGTTTTGCAATGTTCACCTGCAGTGTTCGACCAGCAGTGAATGCTTTGGTGTTTTGTACAATTCATTTGATCTCAAATCCCCTTCTATAAACAATGCTTGGAATTCGTCTTCCTTTTCTACTATGAAATAGCTACAGTGATATACAAAGAAATTTAAAAAGAAGCTCTAAAAGTGCTTCAGAATTTAAGAAATATACATTAAGGTATCCTAGGGTCAGACTTATTCTGAAGCATACTTATACCGTTTTTCTGCTTTGACGCTAAAATTTCACTCAATTACGATTTCCAGAGTAGCTTAATTAGCAAGGGTGTTTTATTCATTCAGTCTTCAATAAAATGCATGCAGTACTAAATGCTTCTGAAATGTGTTTTGTTTGCATAAAATCCAAGAAGTTCTACATGACAAGGTTGTCACTGATGATTTGTAGAAAACATCTGGATTAAAGTACTGTGCAAATCTTCAAGGAAGGCTAAGCAAAACACATGGATCATCCAAGGCTCAACTGCCCCCTTAAAATCAGTTTTAGTTGCAATAAGCTTGACACTTTCTAAGACTAGCACAAGGAATAGAAATGATTTTAATGTATTTTCTTAAGCATTTCAGGTAAGCATTGGCAGCTAAGAAACACAAAATTCTATAGCTACCTAAAGTAGCTATATATTAGCAACCAACCATTTTCTATACCTAGCTATCTATAACATTGCCAATAACTTTGAAATCCAAAACGTAATTAGAAGTTTTGAACAGCTACTTTAAATCTTCCCACTCAGAGGAATTTACCCTTTAAGCACCAGTGTCAGTCCGCAGTGACGTGCTGCCTAGTGGAGCTGCCTGCTCAGACCAGTATCTGCTTGTTGCCCAAGATGTCACTTGAGACAGAGCAAAATATTCAACATCCCCCTGCGCTGAGATGCCAACATGTCATTATTCTGCCAGCACACCCCCTGTAAAATGCTCTGTGCTTTGCAGACCAACATAAGCTTTTGTTCATCTCGTTTTCCCAAGAAATCCATAAAAAGAGCATTATTAGTCTGCCCGGCCTGATAGCACCTGTATGTTGAAAGTTAACATTGTCATTTCCTTTTAAGTCTTAGCAGGAAAAAGAGCCTTTGCCAAAGTGGGCAGAATGAAGATTTGATACACGCTCTCTCTTTTTCTTTAGCAGCTGAGTGTTCACGAAGAATCATTCTCTCTGAGCATATGATGAAGGAAAATAGCATTTGGTAAGAAAAAACATTTCAGTTTCAAGCTTCCAAATTACATTTATATACTATGAGGGAAGGCTGAACAGAGAAGTTCATGCAAGAGAGTATCCCTTTGTAGTGTGTCAGCACCGAGAATCGCAACACAGTTGATAGAGAGAAGTGTTGATTGATGCTGTCTTTCTGTGCTAGTCATATTTTATGGATATACCTCTAATAACCTTCCTGTTGCTACAGATACAGAAACATTTTACTAACGAGTTGTGTTCTAATGGAGGTTTTTCCACTGCAGTATTTTTGGTGGTTTTGATAGAAGGTTGAATTTAATTCGTGACTAGATGAGGCTCATTACATAATGCTCAGTTTTTGCAAATGCACCACTCAGCATTTGCAAGGACCTGGCCTTGAAATCAAGCAATGAAAGCCCGCTGAAGCCAAGTCACTCTTGTTTGGGGAGCACATCATTTATCAGGTATCTTGTATGTGTTAAAATGCAGATTTCCCCATATAACCCTGTCCTTAAAAAGGACTTTTGCTTCCTCAGTAGTGTTACCGTTTACATGTTGTCACATCCTTGAACAACTTTGCTATGCCAGAAGTCCTCCGTAGTGCAGAAGAATCTCAAAATCAGGCCGTGCATCCCCAGAGTATGGGGAACTACTAGGCACATTAAGATAGTGTTTTAATCACAGTATTTGTATTTTAGTTAGTATTTTGATAGTTGTAATTAGCTGTACTTCTGAAGTATTTATTAGATAATGTTTTCTTTTTGATGGCAGACTAACAAAATAAAAAGATTTGGGTTTTCTGGTAATTATGCATGAAAGTACCATCCACCATCTGAATATATTAACAGTGTTGTTCCAATACATTGATGAAAATGTTAGAAAAAAGAATTCTATCTGGTTGTTCTAGCATGTTTTACCATTCTGGAAATTGTAGATATGCAAGAAATTGCTGCGAATTTCTCAGATTTGCAGTTCAAGTGAATTGAAGCTTTATTTCATAATTAAGAAAGATTCTTGAATAGAAACTTAATAAAATGTTTACTAGGTTGCATATTAATGTTGCATGCTCCTACTTGATTTAATTATTTCAAATCCTTAGATATTGAAGTCTTTGCTGAAAGTGCAGTCCTTTTCTTTATAACTCAGGTTGATTATTGTGATGTAAATCTGCATGAAAAATAAAGGAAAATTTATATGTAGATTTTATGATTAATTTCTTTAGAACAAATGTTGGCAAGTTAATTTAATGGATTGTGTTCTAATCATGAAGTGCTGAGGTTTTGTTATTTGAACATAAGTTGGTAGCTCGTTATTTTTAAAGTTAATATATGCAGTATCGATTTTCAAATTGTGTTGATTCTAAAATGAACAGTAATGGATTTTCAGTTTCTTAATGATTAGATCAAATTGTATATTTTAAAACCTTCAAATACATATTTATGTAGTGAAACATAAAGGCGTTGTTGTTATTGATGGTGTGAGTTCTCTTACTGGAGAGGAAACCATTAAAGAAATATTTTTTTCCGAGAGTTTTGCTGAAACAAAGAATGCAGGCTAAACTCCTAAGAAAAAAAAACATTTTGATGGCAAACTATCTTCATTTTATAGGAATATTTAGATTGCATCTATTGTGTCAAATAAAAGGGAAAGCTGATGTTTCATCTTCTCATTCATAGCTGTTGCAGAGCTCTGAATTTTTTTTTTTTACAGGATCGAGGAATTCTTCTGTGCTGCCCCAGGAGCACACCTGAACACTTAGCAGGACTTATACTTCACTGTTTGCTATTATTGTTTTAACACATGGTTAGGGAGAGCTGACACAGAAGGATATTTAGCTTTATACACAGTTAATTAATCTATCCTGGATTTTGCCTTAGGAGTGATCTGTCTTTAGTATCTGCCCACAGTCTGGTTTTGATGTTTTACTTGTTTCCATGCAATTCTTTTTTTCTTTTTGTGGCATAGCCTAGGGTAGCCTTACATGACATTATGGGCACTTATGCTATAGAGAACTCCTTTATCAAATTGTCAAATGTTAAGAGATCGAATATTTACTCAATGCTGGCAGTATAACATCCAATAACAACAGTGAAATCAAACCAACACAATCAAAATAAGAAAATCTGCTCTTTGTTCCAAGAATGCTGTAAGCACTCATAAACTGACAGTATTTTGGAGCATTTGAACAATTTAAGCTTGTTTTGAAGACAAATGACTACACAAACGACTACACTGACAGTTGTTTTTTCTTTAAGTTTCTTCATTCTCTGTAACAGCTTATAAATATATGATAATCAAATCCTACAGTTGCATGTAGATTTGAGTCCATTTAAACCTGTGGCTTTACCATAGTGCTTTTATGTTTCCCTGTTTTCAACGGTGGACACTTCTGTCAGCCCAGAGGTGGCTGAGAAAAAGCTCTTAAACATCAGAAAACAAAAATTATTATGCATATAGCAATGTAAAACTAGGAGAGAGTACAAAAGGCTAAAACACACCAAAATCTTCAGTATTTTCTGTTGGCTAGTTTAGGTGCCTATTATTTTTCCCACATACTGGAAAGGCATCTGAGTATCTAAATGGATTATGTGTGTCTTTTTCTAAGAAGCGCTTCACACTTGCACTTTGCTGCACCCTGAGTGCTCCCATTGAAGTTAATGCAAATTGGTGCTGAATGGTCAAGATTTTCTAAAGTGGCTGCTTTGGGGTGCTGCTTTGGAAGTATCTTAAAGAGGCTTCATTTTGAAAAGTTGTTGAACAACTGTGCATTTGCCTTTGGAAAAAATACGTTGTGTTAATAGAAATTAAGATAAATATGGAGAAACAGTTTTCTGTGTGAAAAACCTTGTCTTGAGTATATATTTGCAAGACTTGAGGGTATCAAAAGCTCTCACAAATATTTAGAGTATGTCTCATTTCTTGGATTCATTTAGGTTTTACTGTGACACCGTATATGCAGACTATCGTTCTTCCATCTCCAGCTTGCATAAGTTGCAAATGATTACATACTTTTCAATAAGATAGTTATATAAGTAGTCATCTCTGACACTGATACCCTTTTTTTCCTTCACCTTTTTTTGGAGACCATGTTTACTTTTCATTAGTAAACCATCGAAGATCGAAATTCTGTGAAACCGGCCATGCACAGAATCAAATCTTTGATATTTATCACTAAGCAAATTAATAATCTTATAAGCATTGCTAGACTTTTATTCAGTTTTTTTTCTTTCCCTTCTATTTAGTTTTTCAACATACCAAAAAACTTCTGTGGTTGCTCAAAGGAGCTCCATGATTCAGATTTCCGGTTATGAGAAAGGAAATTGTAATCTGAGAAGATGGTCTAGAAAAAAAAAAAACCTTCCAGAAACAGTGCCCAAACTTTTCTGACGCTCAGGAGAGTTAAATGCCACCAGAAATGGCCCAGCTAATATACTCTTCATTTGCTAGAAACGCTACATATGCAGAAAGGATTGCAATACTGAAATGTGATCTTGAAATACATGCTATTTAACGAGGTAGGCATACTTCTATTTTAATAGCTTACTGTATCTCTGTTCTGATTTCTCCTCTCCCCAACCCTGTACACACCCCGGTGTGTTTGGGTTATCTGCAAGGTACTCATATGAGTTTAGGACCTGCGTTCACCAAATCGTGATAATCTTAGCATGGAAACAAACTAACTGGGAAAAGCCTGATTGCATAACTTATCTGTAAATACAACAACAATAACAACAAACTCTAAATTTGAATTT